CTACATTATGATGTTCAATTCCTTTACCTGCTACAGATAATTGTGCTGTATAAAATGCTCCCAAACTACACTAACTCCCAATAAGTATTTGGACACCTGTGATAGAAAAGAAAAACTAACTTTATTCAAAATCAATAGTTGGTAGGGCCTCCACGAGAGGTAATTACAGCGTGGACCTTCCGGGGCATACTTTCCACAAGTCTTTATATGACAGCTAGTGGTATTTTCAGTCGGCTTGGAGAAGACATAGAAGTTCCTTCACCGATTTTGCCCGGGTAGTGCACCCCTGAATTCGGCGATGCAACTCGTCCCAGAGGTTCTCAATAGGGTTCAGGTCTGGACTCTGGGCAGGCCAGTCAATTCAATGAACTCCATTGGCACAATACCAAGCCTTGGTTAACGTCCAAACATGACAACTGGCATTGTCGTTCTGAAAGTAACAGGGGTCCAACCCGTAAAACTGCCAAAACGTAGGAAGCACATTGTCATCCAAAATAGTGCAGTAGGCATCGGAGTTGAGCTTACCATGAATTGAGACCAAGGGTTCAAGCCCATACCAGGAGAAACACCCCCAGACCATAATTCCACCTCCGACGAACTTGACTGGCACAATGCACTCTGGCAGGAGACGTTCTCCAGCTAGACGCCAGGCCCAGACCTTGCCATCCGAACGGTAAAGGGTGAACCTTGATTCGCCACTCCAAAGAATCCGTTTTCATTGATCTACGGTCCAATTTCGATGTGCTTTGCACCACATTAACCGAGCAGCGCGGTTGGACTTTGTGATCAAAGCCTTATGGGCAGCAGCACGACCATGAAAACCAAGCAGATGTGCTTTCTTACGGATGGTATTCATTGAAACAATACTCCCGGATGCCTGTTGAAACTCCTTGCGGATGAGGGCCATCGGTTGGGTGCGGTTCTTCCGAATTTCTCTGGACAGCACTTGTCGGTCTCTATTTCCCAGTTTCGTTGGTCTGCCGACTCGGGGCACATTCCGACAATCACCGCTCACCTTCCACTTCTTAATCACATAGGCCACTGTCGATTTTGGGTACTTCAGATCGCTAGATATGTCCCTTAAGGATCGGCCACATTTGTGATACCCGATAATTATACCTTTCTCGAAATCAGAGAGCTCCGAACTGCGAGGCATCTTGCATGCGACTAAAGCTGATGCGTTTCCTACACGATTTATAACGGCGGAGTCCGTGACGTACCTTAGGACCGCAGATATCGTCATTTGCATAGGTGTCCAAATATTTATTGGTAGTCAGTGTATTTAAAGTTATATTTTCCTTTCCAAAATTATAATTATTATTTTTTTTTAATTTTTAGTTTTAATTGAGAAAAACATATTGAAAATAAAAATATATTTTTTTCCTTTTATAGTAAAAGTGTAAATAGCATTTTAACTTTGATCTGTTGTATTTTCATCCTTATCAAATTCGTAAAATTCTTCACTTTCAGTTTATTCATTACAACGGTATTTTATATCTACTAAGACATTAATCATTTCCATTTATTTACGTATAATTTTTAAAACTTTTCCTTTGTTGAAAGAATTTAATTTAATTTATCACGCATGTCTTGTTTTTTAGGTTTCTCGTCTGCTATCGATTTAGACGGTTAATCTGTAGAAAACCTTCTTCCTTCAATTTAAAAAATTTTTCTATATAATATATTGTTACGAAATGCTAAACTGCGATAAGGTAGCTTCCCCGCAAGGCCGGTTTAAGATTGCCCTATTTGGCGAGAAATCGCGCATTTGGTGACAAAATTGGCGATATGCCATAGAAGGATGGAGAACCTTCTAGAACGAATTCTTACTGGTTTGTCCCAGAATGTTCTCGAAGGCAGCCCAAAAGTTATATAAGCTCTGCCTGTACGCGGAATAGCAGTATATCGTAGAGTGTTGTCGAAAGTGTTTGCACTTTTTTATTGTTTATGTATACATATTTAGGCACATTTGGTTTCATATATATTGTTGCGTGCGCACGGGTTCGTTTGAATTGAATGCACACTTCCGATAAAAAATGGACAAAATTTATTATTATCACAACAAAAATGCTTAAATTTCCGGTGCTACTTTGTGGACGGTGCACGGATTTTTTGCAATTTACATTGGCGCAATTAAAGTATTCGAAACTTTAAAAAAATTAATATCGTTAAAAATAATGGATTAATTTTTTGTTGAAAACTTTGTTTTTTAAGATGGCTGGCAAATGTAAATAAATACATTTACTAAGAGTATAAAATTCTAAAGTAAGGTGAAATTATTACTTTCATATAATAGAATAAAAACACCGCTATAAAAACATTGCACCAACATTTAATTGGATTAAAATATTACTTAAATTGAATATCGAATAAGAAACATCATACAAACGTTTAAAAAAATTAAAATATTACTTCAATTTAAATACTTTAAAATAAGTTTCATAGGATTTAATTATCTAACATTAAAATATATGTGGCAATAAATATCTCAGGAATTTTTGAAAACATTGTATTAATTTTTTAATAAAAATTGAAGTATATAATTATAAAGTAAAAGAAAATATGTACTTACATTTTTTCAAGTATTTTACTTGTCGTATATTGATAAGTACCACAAAAATAAAACGATCTTCATCTGTGATCCACATCTCTCGCACTTCATTGAAGCAGCAATTAGCGAGGTTTCCTCCAAAAATTTAAAATAAATTTCCTCTGACGCCTATAACAATTTATAAATAAATCTTTGATTAGGAAAGCCAGGTTGGCCAAAATAAGGTCTCAAAGGGCAATTTTTTTATTCCGATACCAATAATTCTTGGTAATTACCAATGACAACATTCATCTTCGAAACGGACATATCCATTCCATTTGAAATCTGAGGAATTCGAAGAGATGAATAGTAAAATTTTAAAATGGCGCGGTAATGCACAAATTTTCAGTAACCAATCAGGGAGCTGATTACATCACGCATAGAATTAAGATTATTTAAATAATCATTCATAATAAAATCATTTTTAAAAAAATGCAAAATTAAATTATATTTTAATATTTAACAGCCATAAGTAATGTTTAAAACATTAGATTAAATTTATAGATATTAATAAAACCAATTACTTTTGAAGTAAGGTGATGTCATTGATTACATAATCCACAACATAAAATTATATAAAATATCATAAACAACAAAATTTTTATTTCAAATAAAAATGCAAAATAAAATTGATTTTTAATATTTAGAAGCCATAAATAATATTTAAAACACTTAATTTATGCATAATAAAAAGCATTATTTTTTAAATAAAATGACAACAAAGTACCGGCTACCATAAATAACATGTCCAGCAATGGGTTTACCATAAGTCGTATCGCTCGCCAAAAAAATCGCCAAAATCTGTGCAACCTTCTACCAAAGTAGCACCGAATTTCCTCAGATATTCTTTCAGTAGATAACTACTCAAACGTTCAACAGAAGTTAATTCAAAAACAGGTAAAGAAAGCTAATCTGCGAATTCGGTACAATCAACAAGAGCAGTTTTCTAAACAAATTCTTAAAACAACAACAAACTATCTACAGACTGAATTGAGAGGTTTCCCTCCTTTTTATAAAATTTTTAAATCGCGCGCGAGAACTTTCTGGAACTTTCTCGAAATCAAAAAGAGATATTTATTTATTTATTAAATGTTAAATGCACGTGCTCTTGTATTTTTAATTTTCCGGCTTAGCTTTCCTTCAATATTCGTCACGTGCTACACTGCACGGGGAGTAAAACAATTTAATTTATAATTCAACTAACATTAGCTATTTAAATATCAAATCCGTAACAATATTTAGGTAGTTTATTATCTTAAAAATTCCTAAATTTAATATCGGAATTTATTGAATTTTGAGAGTCTTAAAGTGTTGTATAAAAAAAGTTTAAAATTATACATTTTTTAATAAATATTTTTACTTTTTTATATTATTTTATGTTGTTTTTGTATTTTTTTATATTGTTTTCATATACAAATTACATATAAGCGGTTTTCAGGGGAAAGGGACAAAGCATGCATGTCAAAATCAAAATTCAAAGCAATGTTAATTGTCTTCTTCGACATTAATGGAACTGTAATGATTGAGTGGTTTCTCAGTGGTCAGACTGTTAATCAACACTACTACACTGAAGTACTGAAAAATTTAAGGAAAAAGCTCCATAGTTGTGGTGTGATGGATGGCTGTTGCACAAGGACAATGCAACCGCTCATACGGCCCTATTTGTCAAGCAGTTTCTGACCAGCAAAAACATTACTATGATGGAGCATTCCCCTTACTCACCTGATTAGGCTTCATGCTACTTTTTTTTTATTTCCTAAAGTTAAATCTTGCTTAAAGAAACCCATTTCACCTCATTTGAAGAGGCTCAGGCAAAAGCAGAACCTCTTCAACTGAGAAACTTCAGAATTTCCTGAAGGGGCTTCCTAAAACCTCGTTCCAGAACTGTTACCAGCAATAACAGCACCGAATGCAGAAGTGTGGGGATGATGAAGGGTTTACTTTGAAGGTAATAATGTCATGGAGAACTGATTCTGTAAGTACAATGATTTATTGGACCAGGCTCGTTCTTTTGTGTGTCACACTTCGTATAGTCGCTCCGCAGAATTTGGTTACATTGGTTTGATTTATTTGATTATGGTAAAGCCACGAGGAATATCTACCTCAGGCGTAGAATATGTTCGTGGAGGATTTTCCAAGGGAAACTGCTACGTATCCACATAGCAATTTCTCTTAGAAAACCAAGAAAACTTCCATGCTGTCAACCTTTACGCCGGGATATGATCTCGAGTCAAACTACCAGTGTTCAGCTGTCTTATTTGTTCTGTTATTGGTGGGCTCATCTAATTCGGAAACTACCAAAATACATAGAGAGCCTGAGTAAAATATGTTCTTTCTACGAAACTCTCTTTTAAAAATGTTGTGAAAGACTTTCCTTGTATTCTAACAGTTTTGCTTTTTCTATTCACAGTTTATCTGGTGATCATGATCAGCGCCATGCCTGCAGTGGCCGTCCGCCGGGAGCGGAAGAAGCAACGAGCGGCGGCGGCAGCGGCGGCTGCCAATGCCAACGGCTCCAGGAGTCGACAAGGCAGCCTCTCGTCCCTCCCATCTCCCTCCACGAGATCCTCCAGCCTGTTGTCCTCGCCCATGTCCCAACCGGGGAACTACTACAACTACTTCAGCAGCCAACGGCCCCAGCAGCGACCATCTTCCTCGGCTTCATCCACGCCTTCGGCACCTGTGCCCACAGCACCCACGCCGACGACGCCAGCCGTGGCCACGGCACCCCCGTCTCGGAGGCCCAGCGCCAGCGTCTCCACCATCTCCAGCGCGGCCAGTAACTACGTCAGCGCCCTCCACAGGGTGCGCGAACGGCAGCTGGAGACGCAGCGCGAGCGGGCGCGGTTTCTTGTCTACACGGGATCCGTTCTCCTCGCCAGTGGCGCCACGCTAGTCATTATAGGGTTGGCGTCCCGAGCCACTGCCGCCCAAACCGTCGGTCTCCTTTTTCTGTGCCTGGGCTCGGCCTTTTGCCTAGCGCGCGTGTTCTGTTTGGTGCCCCGAGAAGAGTTGCCGCTGGTCAAACGAGCCAGGACTGTGTCCGGCCAGTCTATCTATGTGCCATCATCTTCAGCGCATCAGAGCGCTGCAACCACCCCGGGAACGGACGATTCTTCTACAACATCCTCCTATTATTTCTCCGCGGTGCCCTTACATCGCGTGCAACCGCAATCACAACAGCCGCAGCAGCAGCTCCCCCTGTCGCCGGAGACGCCGCCGAGTACTGCTGCCCCACCGCCGCTGCAACCACCCCCACCGGTGGTGCCTGGGGTGCACGGGGCGGTGGGCAGCCACAGGAGCAACCCTTCTAGCATCTTGACGCCGATGAGTCTTAACAGCATTCCCGAAATGCAAGTCTTGATCACCGACGATAGTCAACGATACTAAATACTTGATTCTCTCTAATGGTGGAAGCCCATAACAGAGAAAGAACAGACCCGCGCTCGGATGGTCAAGTTGCCCAACCCCAATTGGATGCCATCCTGCCCAACCCCAATCGAATGTCTAGTTGTCCCACTCAAATCATTCTTAAGTCGATCCACAACAAGATCTTCAATTAAAGATCAGCCTTCAAAATCCTTTCTCGGGTCGCATGCCATTTTTCCGGCCCCTGCATGTACACCACAGAATCCTTCGAAGCAAGGATTCTATTCAACCCGTTTTAGGAGCAATCTAAAGATCGTGTTCCTTGAGGTAGTGCGTACTTCACCAAGGCAACCTAATAATGCCAGTCAAACGCAGCGATGGCGAACCTTTTCACATTGGAATGTCAAAAATTCAAAAATGTCTAATTTTTATCTGCTAACCTGAAAGAAAAAGTCACAATTGTTTTCTTATTTATATGTTAAAAAATACAGTTGCATCATCTATGATACTATGTATTATATCTGCATATAATGTAAATGTAAAACAAAATTCTTTTTAACACTGGAACGTGCAAATTGAACTGAAATCAATCTGTCGGGAAAAGTTATCGTGTTATCTTGAATATCATTATTTCGTGCCAGTACTCACGTATGCATCAGAGGTTCGCCATCACTGCTTTAATGAACCCTGCATACTTAAACCCAAAGTCTTCCATCGAAAGGCTTAAGATTCACTAAACGGTTTAGGATATATCAGAAGTGGCCAACTAATCGGCGTTATCAGGTCAACAAATCATTTAATATTTCAAGGTTAACACAAATTATTAGTATTGTCTTTATTCCATTAAATGCGTCAACCATTATTGGTAAGCAGTACCTCTGGAGCAGGAATACCAATGACTCACTTAAAATTACTACTAACATCATACTTACCGTTATTATTACGCCGTACTATTATTGATAGTTGTTTAGTTTTCAGATTCTGTGTTATAAATCACCTATCAAAAAACTCTCGAATGAAAATTTCCTTTTAGACATTTCAGTTCTTCCAAATGTCACATTGTTTAAAACCTATTTTAAAAGGACATTTGTCACCTTTCCGATTTCTTTTAAGTTTATTCATAAATACAGTAAAATCTTCCTTTTGTCACTGATAATCTGCATAATTTAACTGATAAATTTGCTGCGGTAAAATTTAGATCACAAGCAAGTTACAAACCTATTAATTAAAAATAGTCCTACAACCAACTTTGAAATATCATGTTTATTAAAACCCACATCAAGTTTATTAAAAAAAAATAAGTGTAGATTAATATGAATAGAAATATCCCATTACTCAATGCCATATAACTTGGAAAACAGGAGATTCTCCATAGCCTCATCCAAGGCAAATTTTAGACTTTCTAATGCATAAATTAATTTCTTTCTTATGTTGTAAATATGAGAAGAGACTATTTGAAAATTATTTAAAAAATATATATTACGTTAACCATCAGCGTTCTCTGCTATTTGAAAAGCTGTGACAGTTCTGATGTGCTTATTTAAAGCACATTTTAGGGAATACGCTTCCTTGTGTAAATTAACTTGATCCGCAAAAGGCAAATACTATATTACAGAAACATCTCTCCTATGCAAAACTGATATGCTTGATAAGAAATGCATGACTTAACATGAAAAAAAATATTTATCTCCAGTTCATCTAAAATTGGGCCTCATTAAATTATTTGTTAAAGCCACGGTTAAAACTGCGAAAGTAATTTCTTGACATAATTCGTGTTCATTTTTTGGCATCTTCAAATGGAATGGATGAGTGCGAGAAAAGGAATCTCCATGTTGTTATATTGAAGTTCAGAATTGTGACATCCATAATAATCCCCAAGAAAGAAATATTAAATTCACAACAATACAACCTTACATTTATGGCTTACATGCACAACTTTTCGAATGATCAATTTAATACAGTTCTATTTTACATAGAATTCACACATTCTATCCTGAAATAACATCGTCTTATTAACTCCGCAACGAATTCCTAAACGTTGGCTAAACTTATTTTTGTTGCCTGAATATGCATTTTAGAGTTGGCCGCTTCTGCGATAGGTAATGGGTAATAATTGATATATTTTTATGCCATTTTATCGCTGGTTAGCGTAAATTTAGGCTGACGCATATATTTTCACATTTAAAATTCACCTTGAAAAAGTAAATAAATAAAAATTTCCCTAAATTATCTTTTCAGTACGAACTCTTGTTTTCCATCCAGCCGTTTGACCGAAAGTAGAGAAATGATATCGGCTACTTATATGAGAATACAACTGAAATTTGCTGCTAATTCCCAACAGATATAGGTTACTTCACTAATAGAAGACCTCGAATTATCCTTCACTGCAGACATATCAGATAATCTAGGTAGACATAATATCGAAAGTGTGTAACTTAAGAAATGTGCAATTAAACTAAATCGTTAGCAGTTCCATCTTGCGTGTTGGCTAGAAACATTGCATTTTGCATGTTTGGCGTCCTTACAACGACTAGAAATGTTTTATACGCTAGTACGCAGAAAAAAGCTAAATGCTTGATACCTTTTCCTGCCAGTTCTCTCTCTCTGTATGTATATATATATTCTTAAAGCGTTTCTAAAAATCAGAAAAGCTTACTTTTTTTGAAATCCTGTTTCACGTAGTGATAATCTTGTAAGTATATTAATTCTGTAAACTGATCCTGTTCTAAAGAAGTCAGTGTCTGGTTGTCTTGAATTTCTTGCAGAAAAATTAAATACAAAAATCAAGTTTTAATTTTAAAAATCACTCGCGTGCGTCTGATTACAAACTCGAGAATCGGAGGACTGCATTTTTAAGAAAGTTTAAACGGATTTAGAATTGACGAATCAAAATTCGAATTCCAGGTAATACGATCTTTGAATGCACTGACTACAGCTGCATGGCACTTTTTTAAGGATGTCTGATGTCTTAAACTGAGACGATTATCTTATATTTGCTGAAAATTCTCCTACAGGATGTTGGAGATTGCATCTTCAAGCTGCAAATTATCACTGCTCGTCATCTGATTAAAAGTTTGATGACTATTTTATAATACCAAGATGGATCTCCAACTTAACTTTATAGAGAAAGCTGATGTCGAAAGATAACGCTTGGTACAAAGACACAGTGCGTATGTCTGTACATGTTTCAGCATAGTGAGTGTGTCTGTACATATTGCTACGTTTGCAGATGTAATGTCATCTTTGTTAAATATCAAGTCTGTAGTAAACGATAATTTTGGGGATTTCTGTAAGTAAAGATTTTATGTTTAGCTTTTGATATGTATAGCAAAAGTAAGGTATCGGTTATGTTTAGCAAGGTATAGGTGTCTATATTTCTTTCTTTCTAAAGATTCTCATATAAGTTTTGCCTTACTTGCCGTAAACGTTTTTGCCTCGACTGTTACTGAGAAATGTTTTTATAGTCCCGAAATATGTATTCTTTCACCAATTAATTCAGTTTTCTAATCTAATTACTCGAAACGTCCATATTTAACAACTTAGTGAAATGAAGTTGTAGAACGCGTCAACAGTAGAACTGTTCGCGTGAAAACATGCATGAATACGTGAAGTAGTTCATCATTATGGCACGTGAAAACATGCATGGACACGTGAGGTACCAGAATATTAGATCTTCCCACAGGGAAAAAAACGAGGATTAGGCAGTAGAGATAGAATTATAAGTATACTTGACAAGGTAAAACCGTGGAATGCCTTAAGGGAAAATGAAACCTGAAATTCCCTTTCCTTTGAAAATTTGTCCATCTTGTGTTAAATTATAGCATTTTTTCCATAGAACTTAAGAGTCGTTCTTTTAAGAAAAATTATTTGATATTTATAATAACTTTCTAATTCACGACATATTCATCGCTATATCTTACAAAAGTGAGCTCAAATACTTCTAATTTCGTTTGACTTGTATAAATACTATGCTTTGATTATTATTATATCAGCTGCTCCTCGTAAGCTTCACACGCTGCATTCTGAATAGTAAAACTGAATAGTAAAGAACTCAGAGGGCAACTGTAAGTTTTATGAATCAATCAGATACGCTTCCAGCGTCCAAATATGCGAAATAATAGCCCTGTTATTATTAACAGTTTACTTACCACCTTGCTTAATTCAATAATTTGTTTTATTGGAAGTCAGTTTGCTCTCTTGATGACAAAGATTTTCAGTTTCTATTTGAAATAAGGCTTAACCGTGTTTAATATTAATGCTAAATATTTCTTTTTATAAATAAGATAGTGAAATAAGAGTATTCGGTACTCATGAACAGGTATGTATCAAGCATTCAGGGTTCTATTATTAAAATTTGCCTCTAAAACGAATTTTTTTCTTTTAATAATCATCTAAAAGGTTTGGTAGGCCATTGGTAAGTAAACTGTTAATAGCTAACTAAAAATTAAAACTGGTGTTCATGTTTTTAAAGTTCTTCAAAATTATATTATTCAATTTATTACTTAAATGCAAAAATATTTGTTCATAATTAAAGATACATTATTCCTGTTAAAAGTCACAAACTAGTTATTTTAATTTATGCTATATGAGTGTAATTACAGTCAAACCCCGCTATAATGAACCTCAAGGGATCTAAAATCTGTTCGCTATACTCGATCCGAAAAAGAAAAGAAAATTATTTAAAAAAAACTGCCTGATGAATTACAAAAGAATTTAATAGCATTGTCACATCCACCAGAAGTGTATAATAACACTAATTCCTATTTTAAAAAATGTTCATATTAAAGGCTAATCATAAATGTTTTTAAGTATTGTTACAAGTTCTTATTTCATTAGTTTCAAAATTAATTAATAATTTTATACGATGCGTTACTTAGCATTAAATTTATATTTCAGATGTTTTCCCCTAAATACATAGATGTCTCGGCAAGTTTATAACTAGGAATAATCATTTTCATGCATTTTTTTTCTTAATATGATGTCTTTAGACCTCTGTGTCCTAGTTTTCCACGAAATGGATGCAAAACTGCTTCGATTATCTTTTGTTTACAACATAAAAAAAAGTGAGATGACGGTAGAGGAACAGCAACGAAAAGGTGTTTTTAGCTATCCCAAAGCTTAAACGTAGATGATTTCATGAATCAGTTATTCTTCAGTTAAAACTTTCCGAAATTCTGGGGGGAAATGTATGGAAAACAAGAAAATGTTTCAATCGAAAATTTCCATAAATTTCGTTATATCAGATTTTTATAGACTGGAAGATTCGCTTTAGCGATATTAAAAAGAAGTAATAAACTAATTAAAAAATATAAACAATAATTGCGTAGGAAATTGAGTGAGAGCACGAATTTCATTCGCTCTAAACCGTGTTCGTTATAGCGGTGTCTGACGTTTTTAAAATATTTTAAGACAGAAGATTGGTGTATATGTACGTATATGAATTTTGAAAACGTATTTTCTCAAAATATTCTGCCTCTAATCCTCGTTTGCCATTCGGACATACCTTTATAGTTACGCTATGACAAGACAATCCGAGCGTGGGACTGGACAGTGTCACCAGGCGGCGCTCCAGATCAAACAACTCGCGCAGAAGTTTGAACAATTCTCTTCCTTTAGCAATCAGGATAGGCGCTAGACAGTCAACTCTAAAAAGATCCTTAGAGTCGAGAGATAGAGTTCTTTCCATTCAGGTTTAGACTTCAATTCAACTATAGATTTTAGCGGTGGATATTTACGGCATCTAGCCTACTTTGCAATTAAGCCTAACCCATGAGCAGTTCATCTGTGCAGTGAAGAAAAATGTCCTAAACTCTTAAAAAATCGTACATTCGTTTCCCACTAAAGCATAGTACATATTCTACCAAACTCAAAAATTTTTTAGTCCAAATCTTATGCGATTCTGGA